TTTTTTTTTTTAATCCAAGAAAACCAGGATCCCTGTTCAGCCAGGTTTGCCCTCCCTCTGTTCCAGGAAGCTAGGGAAACTAAGTCTGCAAGAGAAAGTCCTGTGCAAAATTGCTGCTGGTAAAACACAACTGCCTGCCTTAGGACCAGCTTCTTACACCACTGGAAGAGCTTCCAAATAGAGCAAGGAGCCAAAACTATTGTTTCTAGAGACAAGAAGAGACCCACTGTATAGCATACAACTGCCTCCACACACCTCCCACCCCATTACAGAGCATTTCAGTACAGATCCTCTCATTTTGTAACTTCTGTCCCCTTCTACAGAATATCCTGACAGAGAAACCTGTTCCCCCTCCATTATGAAGGCAGGCTGCATATCCTCTTGTGGAAGGGGAGCCAAAGGTTGTTTCCAAGAAAGAAGAAAAAATAAAAATAAAACCAGGGGCCGAATACTCAGCATGCACCTAATGGAAAGAACAAGACCTAAGAGCCCAGGTGATTTTTGAAAAAGGGACCCAGGAACCTAAATTTCTCTTGCCTTCCCTTGGACCAATGATTAATTCTCAACAAGAGTGCTGCAGAATTGCAGAAACAAAGAATTGCTCTATTTTTCTGTGGTCAAAAATCGGGTGAAAATATAGCTGGCATTTTCAGAGGGGTGCCTTGAGTCTAACGATGTTGAGAACCACTGCCTTAGACTAACCCCAACTACTTACAAGAGAAAAGAACACCTGCAGATACTGGCATCAAGGCCTAGCTTGCCACACTTTTGTTCCCCAGGAAACAATTGAATGGTAAAGTTCAGAGCCCCGTAGTAATGAAAAGGGATCTCGTTTTCCCTGATAATAAATTGCAAATTCTCTGATAAAACTACTCAAATCCATGATTAAAATGCACCCCCCCTCCCCAAGCCTTATGGTGCCCCTCACCCCCTCCCTGCAATGCCCTGGCCCTGCTGGTACCCTGCACTCCCCACCACAGCCCCCTGGTACATCTCACTCCCCACAATAACCCCCCAGCCCTGCTGGTGCCCCTCAACCCCCACTCACAGCTCCTGCTTCCCCAGCCCTGACAGGGGTGCTCCCAGCTGCCAGGGCTACAGGGCCAGGGACCCGAGTCCACAGCCCCCTGCCCCTGACCGGAGGCTGTAGTAAAGCCTGCTGCAGGCTTGACGGGGGAGAGAGGCTGCTCCCCACCACAGTGCACACTCCGGCGGGGGGGGGCGGGGTGCAGAAAAAACACACGTGCCTCCCACCTTTGTGAGTGGGGCAGGGGCTGCAGGCTCCTGCCCTGCTGTCGTCTCTTGGGGCTGGCACAGCCCGGTGTATGCGAAGACCAACAAAGCCACGCAGGCAGCTGCCTGCCACAGAGCTGTGCGCTGCCCTAGCGGGGTGTCCCCGGCCTGCACCCTGCTTCTCTTTATCCAGGAATTATCAGAGACAGATATTCAGAGTTATTTACCAACCATGTCTTAAATAAAAGCATTTTTGTAGAGCATGTAGAGCACTACTAAGAGTCTGTGTTCCCTCATCTTGTAGCAACTCATATTTATATACGGTACAAGTAAAAATCTAATTTAAATCTAAAATAACTGGCAGAACAACCTGGTTCAGCTAAACCATTAAGGCTTACAGAAAAAAAAACAATATCCCCCCTGCAAACAGAAAAGTATAATTAAAACAAAGACGCAGTATATGGAGAATCAGTTAAAAATGATTTAAAACTCCCCCAAGCATCACTTCTACACTATCCTAGTCAATTAACAGTTTCTTTTTAAAACAGAAAAGCCCAAGATGCATTTTGACATTTTATCTGTCATGCTCTTATCATAAAAGACTTACAGAGCAGTATAAATGAATATATACATATGGGATGTTATCTTCTTCATTATTATTGCAGCTATAAAAATAGAGAACCGAAGTGCAAGTCCACTGAGGAGACTGTACAAGATTCAGATTTCATATTTTTAAATATTTACCATATTTACTCAAATCCAAGATGAGGTTTTCTTCCCCATGTTCAATGTGTGGGAAGAAGGGGTCCTCATCTTGGATTCAGGTGCAAGGTGGGGGGGCAGGGGGTGGCTGCAACCCTGACTCAGGGTCAGTCAGAGCCGCAGCCTCTGCCCTCCACCTGTCCTGGGCCACCACCACTTACCTTCAGTTGTGGCTCCAGCTCCAAACCCTACCAGGCAGCAGCAGCGGAAGCAGATCTGCCCCCAGCTCTGACTCTGACCTGGTCCTAGGGCTACAGCTGCTGTCACCACAACCACCGCTACCTGGCAGGATAGGGGCTAGAGTCACCATGTCCCCAGTGCCATGAGACTGAAGCCAGAATCACAACTAAGGGCAAATGGAGGGGTTGTGGGGGGGAGAAAGAGCAGCAGCCCAAGGGGTGTGGTTCAAGCTACTTTATTCCCCTACTGCCTATGTCCCCACTTCACCTGCCCCTCCCCCATGTCAGTGCAGGTGACGAATTTGGGGCAACCCCCCCCCCCAAAAAAATTGATTGTATACATGGAAAATTATAACATTTATAAATTTTCCATTTACAGAATCTAATAATTGGGGGGGTCATTTTAAACTCAAAAGTAATCTTGGATTCAGGTAAATATGGTAACAAAGGTTGGTGTTGTTCTTCTAGAGCCTTGAAGTTCTGGGGTTCAAACTGAAAGTAAAGAATGTATACATTTTCTTTTATTTAATAGCAAAATGTTACCACTTCTTTATTTATTTATTTATATTGTTTGTTGGCAATAACTGAGATCTATATCTATATAAACCACATGCATTTGTATCTCAGTTATTGCCAAGAAACATCTAGAGAAACCTTCATTCATACCGACGTGCACAAAAGCCTGTAAATACTCAATGCTACTGTTAGTAGCAATTGTATTTGTAATGATCAGGGATCCTGGTTTTCTCCAGTTTTAAAAAGTCCCCCATTTTCAAATTAAAAAAGTAACCCCAAATCCACATTTTTCCATGATTTAAATGAAACACCACTAATACATAAATCTGCATCAGTGGTCACCAGCCAGCGGATCTCGATCCACTGGCAGATCCTGGAGCCTCTTGGGGTAGATCTCAGAGCCTCTTGGAGTCTATCCGAGGCTGGGGTGGGGGGACTGAGTGCCCGCGTGCTTGCAAGCGTGTGCCCCAGCCCAGCAAGTCAGTCCATGGGGGAGGGGCAGAGGCAGAAGCAGGGGTAAGTTGAGTGGGGCCCTGGCTGGGTGGGACTTACCTGCTGGGGAGGTGCACCCCCAAACAATTTTTTCTCTCTCTGCCTCCCCTGTCCCTCCTCACAGACTTGCCTGCTGGGCAGGGGGTGGCACCACATGGTAGACCTTGGGTTGCTTTTAAATGCAAGTAGGTGACCTCCTCCTTAAAAATGCTGGAGACCACTAATCTATTTATTAGTGGTGTTTCATTATCATGGAAAATGTAGATTTGAAGTTGCTTTTAACTGAAAATTGGGGATTTTTTTTTTTTTTTTAAATCAGACAAAACCAGGATCCCTGGTAATGATGTTTAGTTTTGGGATTATATCTGTATTTTCTTATGTGGAAGTGTGCTCCAAGCTTAACACAGCCTTCATGAAAAATATGAAAAATAAACCAAAAGTATTATGTACAATGGAACTTATATGAGCCCTATTACCATAGTATCCAAGGACCTCAAAAATCTTAATTCAGCTTCATTGAATCTCTGAAGATGAACCCTTAAAAATGGGGAAAACTGACACAAAAACAACTTCACAATTTGCCTATAGTGGCACAAGAAGTCTGACTGATTAGAGAGCTTAGCACAAGTTTTCCACTCTCACTTTCATACCCAAACTGTCTTTCCTTTTGAATATACACACACATTTCTCTGAAGGCAAAATGTCAAGCAACAATGATGAAATGTTAAGATTGTTCATATATTAAAATAAATTCTTGTCATAATTCTGCACTACACTGTTATCATGACAAATGAGAAGTGACAAAATGAAATCTACTTAACAGCACTGTTAGCAATGCAACCTTATTACAAGTATGTTTTCTGAAAGACATTCTAGGCACAGTTACAACTGCACCACAACTGTTTCTGGACAACAAAAAGGATGATCATGCTCATTAAAACTGCAGTAATTCAATAGTTTATTTATACAAGATAGCTTTTTCAAAGATGTTGCAGCTGACCTGACTCAAAGTTCCCATGTAGATGTTCTACAAAAAGGATGTGGATTAGGGAAAAATACTATCTTAAAATCTGAATTTAAAGCTTATGATCAAAGAAACATACAACAGTAAGGTTAGAAGGGATCTTGTCGGGGTCATCTAGTCCAACCCCTTGTTCAAGGGAGGATTTTTCCTAACTAATGAGAAATAAAACAATAAAAAGTGCCAAGTATTTGTCTAAGCTTCTCTTAAAAACTTCCAAGGATGAAGATTCATAGCCTTGCGGGGCAGGCTGTTCCAATGCTTAACCTCCCTCAGTCAGAAAGTTCTTCCTAGTATCCAACCTTAAAATTTCTTCCTGCTGCAATTTGAGACTATTGCTCTTAGTCCTGTGCTGACACCACAGAGAATAGTCTGATCTACACTATCTTTATAACCATCCTTCAGATATTTGAAGACTGTTTCCAAAACCCCTACAGTCTTTTCTCCAGACAAAACAATCCTAGTTCTTTCAGCTTTTCCTCGTATGTCAGGTTTCCCAGGCCTCTAATGATTTTTGTCACTTTTCACTGGACTCCTGGTTTGTCCACATCTTTCTTGAAGCAAGGGGCCCAAAACTGGACATAGTAGTTCAGGTGTGGCCTCAGTGTCAAATAGAGCAGGAAAATGACTTCAATTGATGTTCCTATGAAAAACCCCCATTATGTTATTGGCCTTTTTTGTAAAAAGAGCTCGTATTCAGCTTATGGTCCACTGTAACTACTAGGACCTTTTCTGCACTACTGAAGCTGAGCAAGTGATAACCTAGTCAGACGTAATCCTCTACACTTCCAACTTACCACAGTTTTGAAGTCTTTATCAGCTTCATCAAATTTTCCTTGCTTAAGTAATAAGTGTCCTCTTTGTAATCTTGCCTGAAATAAAACAATGACCAGTTTTGTATTTTACAAAATGAGTATTGGTAATCAAAGGAAATCAAGCCAAGCTTTCCATAAACCTACTAGAATGGCATTTTTTCACCCCACCCACAGCTAACAAACTGAAACAGAAGCAGTCATAATAGCACCTACTCTATTCCTCCCTTTCCTGTGCCTCATTCCCAAATGAAACAACTTTGTTGGGAAAAAAACGTTGATTGTTAATGGCAGGTTCTATCGCTGCATACAAAACTATGGCTCCAATGAACTTTATTCAGCAAAGCAAGCATTTAGCTGTTAAGACAGCACTCCTACATTCAGGCTTCATTAATCTATGGCTTTTTGATGGGCTGTAGCAAAAGGAAATTCCCTGTCCTTATTGTTGAGTCTTCAGCAACAGAATTCTTATTAAGTTTTCAGTTTTATACATATTATTTTGACAGCTAGAGGGCATGTCTACACGCAATATGAAGGTGGTTTGAGCCAGAGTTTATTGCTCCTGAGTGTGCCATTTGCACATGTGCCCAGGACTGCAGCACGTTGAGCTGGGGCACAGCAGAGCTGCTCCAACCCAGCTCAATGTACTGTAGAGGGGCTGGCTGGGGTACAGGGGTGCTTCAGTGTTGGGGCTAGCCAGCAGGCAACCCCCACACTGAAGCATCCTTGTGCTCCAGCCACCCCATCAGTGCTTGCACATACATTGTGGTGGCATAAATAACTGCATCATAGAACAGTACTTGTGTCTGGCCATACTATCCTACAATGGGGTTAACTAGTTTACTCTGTCCTAATAGCACCACACACAGATGGTGACATTTTACTGCAGAGCCTAGTGGGAAACTCCTCAATAACTGTCTCGTGTAAGCATGCCCATTGACTGAAATTTGGATAGTTTAAGATAAAGAAAAGTATATTAAATGCCAATTAAGAACTGCAACCACCCTTTCTTGAATAAACCAGATTAAGTGAAATCCAATGACAAGACAAATTTATTGCTAATAAAACTGTTCAACTCCCAAGATTGGTTTAAAAACAGTTTTTATGTATCCAATTCTGTGAGAAAAGGAAAGGGAGACAAATTCTTTTCCTATACTGACTGGAATAAGGTCACTTACGAGTAGTTAATTTTGTGGCAAAAATCCATTTCACGTCTTAGAAGAAAGAAATTGCCAAATTTGTCTTTACAACAAGTATGATGTAAACTCGATTTTGCTACCTAAAGTAGTCAATCTTTACTGTTCAAATTGAGTGCAACTCAATCCTTTCTGGGTATTTATTTTAAAACCCAAGGAGATGTTGCTCAGAAAAAAAGAAGTTGGAGGAGAAAGGAATGAGGCAGGGGTGTTAATTATCTTGGAAAAATGCCCAATGGTAATTTCAGCTTTATGAATCTCCCAAAAACTACCCAGTAACAGCTTGTGGTAAGCTTGGTGGTAATCCTAGAAAAAATCATTCATTTCTTGATTGGCAACTAATTTTACTGCACATGTGACTCCTGTGATATACCACACACCTTCAGAAATGCTAGCAGAGGATATGGATTTGCTGACTGTATTTTAGGTACAGAAACAAGAGTTAGAGTGAAACAAGACTAGTGCATTTGTCTGCCAATGAAGGAGCATTCTGTCCTTCCTCATTTTAAATGCCCAAGTCAGGGTTCTTAAAAGGTTTTCTTTTTTATACTATGAGCTAAAAAAATGAATCTTTTTTGAGACAAAACACTATTTTATTTTACCCTGAAGGAATCCTGATTCTACAAATCCAGCATTACTTACTGATGTGAAATCCTGCTTAAGTTCAACCACTTTACTTAAATCACGAATTGCAGCTTTAGATTTGCCCATGGCTAAATACACTGTGGCTCTTCTGTAATAGGCAATGTAGTTATCAGAATCACCCTCTGCAAGTGAAGAAACAGAAATGAGAAAACTGCCTCAAAGCAATTCAAAGTTAGGATACAGCTATGTTATAATAAGAATAAGAAGTAGCGTTACTTGAATTTTAAGCATTTAGCAAAGTAACATTTGCACAAAGTAATAATTTTACATCTCATCTTGCTTATGTAATCAGTACAGAGATGATATGACGATGGCAACACTGCTAATAATTAGGAGTTTTGAAGGTGACTGTGCACTGTTATTTCAGTTCTGGAGTAAAATTAAGCCACTGCATACTACTAAACTGTTACCACAAACTACAAGCTTACTTTTGGAAACATGTTAACTCTTTCATTCTTCATTTTTGTTTGCATGCATGCATCACATCAGATGCACACAAATAAGACATATAAATAATCACCCCAAATGACCAATATTTTAGTTAGCTGAGTGTTTTCACCAATTCATAAGCTCCTTACTTTACATGCAGGTAACAAAAACTTTGCATTTCATTTTAACAACGGTTGCACCAGACCCTTATATTTAAGTCTTAGTGGCAAAAATAAATTGTTCAGTGATGCTGAAGCTGGAGTGATTACACAGCCTAGCATTAAGGTCAACGCATCCTAAAAATAAAAATAAGTGACTAGGCAACTCTTCTCCAACACTCTGTTACCATTGTTCTTTAGGTTTCTCTTGCTTCTTGCTAGAATCCCATTTTAGTGTAGAAATCCTGACCAGAAATCCACAATAGTCCAAAGGAGTTTCTGAGCATGGTACCCTAAAGGTACACACTGAAAGAATATGGTGCTCTTAATTCCAAGATGAAAATAACAATGATGAGACTGCAGCTAAAATGTCCGTCAGGCTACTCATTGGACAATGTCTTCTAGTTTAAAAGTGTATGCAACTTTGTAGTGTATTATAAGCTTTAGAGATGGGAATGTATGTACTTGTAACATAAAAAAGATGGGTTTATTCCTCACTTAGTAAATCTTACGGATTAAGCTTAAAGTCTAACAAATTACACAGAACATCCTGATAAATTTCAGTATGTAGCTGTGCTTCACAGCTAGTAACCTTACTAGATGGAAATGTTCTCAGTTCCCTTGTACAATCATCTGCCGAGGTAGAAAAATGCCGGCAATCAAAAAGGGTAATAACTTTCTACCCTGACACTGCATGCCACTCCCTAAACAAGTACTATAGCTTCCCAAATCTATTTTTATTATCCAAAACTATGAAGCTTCACTAACTAACATTTACATTTACTAAGTACTACTCCACAGAACACATGCATATCCTTAAACCTATTCTAGCTAATACAGCCTTAGGCAATCTGTAAATGAACAGTTCTTATACCCAGCAGAGTAAGCTGTTTATCAATGAACACACAAACTCTTAAGGATTAAAACAACCAAGGTGCAAGAAAGCTGACCCAAGAGAGCTGATAACAAGTGTGTTCCACCACCAGTTGCTGATCTTATAGCAGGCAGAAGATGATTTTCCCCTCAGAGCTCCCCAGTAACAGCAATGAACAGTGTCCCATATCTACACAAAGAAAATGCACAGCCCATCAGTCACACAACTTGGGGAAGAAGTTAAGAACCAGAAACAAGGAGTAAAGCAAACAGCAGCTTGTTTTTTACTGCTAGCTGTTTGCAACAGGAACATTGCACTGGCTGCAGCTAAAGGAAAAGGGGCTATTTCCTCATCTACTAGTCCTGTGATCTAAAGGAGGGGTTTTCAACCAGGGGTACGCATACCCCTGGGGGTATTTGGGATGGCCTTAGGGGGTACTTGGCAGTGGGCACTGCTGCGCCACCAGCACTTCCGCCACCACCCGTGCCACCAGGATACTCGGTTGTGGGGAACCACCCCCCTCTGGTCACTGATCAGCTGATGGGGGACCCCCTCCCCTGCTTGTTGACTGGCCGTCAGGGGTACACTGACCCAAAAAGTTGAAAACCCCGATCTAAAGCAAGCAAAGACCTTAAGAGAACAAAGAGATTTTTTTGATTAAAGTAGTACTTAGTGCACCAGCCAAGTTGATGATTTTTGCTTAGAAAAATTGAACTCTGAAGAAGGAAGAGATTTGGATAGACAGCTTCAAGATGTTTTGCACCATTAACTTCAGCATGGTGAGGTGACAAATACATTCAGTGAGGGAACTTATATTCAATTTTCTTCTGTTTTCTGTCCTTTTTGAAGGGACTTAACATATGAAACAAAATTATATTAATGTACTATTCTCAAGTATTTAAATTTTAGATCTGTCTTTAATGCAGCAAATTCTAAATAAGTTATTCATTACTAGCATTAAGAATTTACTACCCTTAGCCATGCATCCTGAAGAGGTTAGCAGAAATGTCACCATATATTTAAGTATAAACCAAATGAAAAAGTTAAAATTTTTATTTGTAGCTATGAAAGGTAATTGGATGCACTGGGTTATAAAACAGAGGAATTACTGCACTCTCATTTGAATGCGTGTAGACAGCCAGATTTGGGAAAATTCTGGCAAGTTTGTTTTCCTGGTAGAAAAATCTTATCTGAAGATGCCTGAACAGATATTTGATGCCACTGCCGAGCAGAGTTTGTATGCTGATGCAGCACAGCCAGGGGAACACTGTGAACATCTCTTAGAGTCCTCTGTGGTCTTTCAAGAGTCTGAAGACAGGGGCAGCAGTGAACACGGGTTCAGAGTTAACCCATCTCTCCCTACAGCACAATGTAGAACAAGGAAGGGGGCAAGTTCTGCTATCTAATCAGCTGGAACAGTAGAGTCCAGCAAGCGGTACTCACTGTCCCCCTGAGTGGGGCAAAGAGCAAAACACCTGGGGGATCATGCCATGGTTTCTCTCTGAAGAAGATGCATACAGACATTTACTTTCTCAGTTTAACCCTGGTTGTTCCAGGGTTATTTTTTGCTCCTGAATGTCTGTTCATTCATAGTTTCAACTGAGAGAGCACCAATTCTCCCAGAAGAAACTGAATGCCTGTATGTGACCCCTGTAGACACGTCCTGGCTAATCCCACAGCCACAAATGAAATCAAATATCAAGACTGAGGATTAGTACACAAACATGCTTTTACACAGTTTTTGCATTTAGACCTCAATGCAAGGTCTCAAAGACCTGGTTTATCACTGCATAACATCTTGAAGTTTGTTTTCTACCAATAAAATGGGTATTTTGTTATACTATAATAAAGTTAATTTAAGTAAAAGGAAAAAGAAATCACAGCAGTATACCCACATTCCATTCACTGATGTAAATAAAATGCAAAGACTTTGGCACCGCCCTGCAGCACAAGAAAAGCTCTAATGTGGGTAATTAAGTATTGAGAAACATGAAAGCAAAAGAGTTTGCATGCAATCCAAGAAACAAACACACCCAAAATGCATAATTCTTGTTCTAGGGAACTTCTACTCTACCAATGAATTTATGAGAATTATAGAGTCAGAAATACACTGTGTTTTAGTTCAAGGTTGAAAAAAAAAAAAACTTTAAAACTTGATGATTATTCCCCCTCCTATAATTGTACAGTGCTTTAAGAGAAATGCGTTGGATTCCCACAGAATTGAAGCAAGAAACATTCCCATCTATATCCTTTTTTAAATAAAAGATACTTTAAACTTGCTTTTTAATTTCTCATCTTGATAATGCCAGGGACAATTTACAGGACTATATCACAGTCCAGTTGTTTATAGAGAATTTGCTGCATATGCAAGGCTTGGTGTTCCCTTGCACTTGATTTACATGATCTCCACCCTGGAACCTCAGTGACAAGGCACAGGCACACTATACTACAGAGGATCTCACTGAAGTTACCACTGCTCTAAAAGCCCTTCTCAACTCTGCAATCCTGAATATGCACTGCAGCCCTCCCCCCACCACCCCCTGTGATTTGTATGACTGGAACCTTGTTATTCCCCCCAAGCAATTATGGAGAAAAGGGCAAGAGGGGCTTCAATATAAAAATTTAACTGAACATGCAGTACAGTAATTTAGCTGTCTTGAGATACACACCTATAGCTGTATGAAAGTGAGACAAGGCATCTGCTAGCTGTCCAGCAGCCAGTAACTTCTTGCCCATTTCAAGTTGTTTTTCTACTTCTGCATTTATTCCACATTCAGCTCCTAAGGAAATAAAAACAAAGGAAAAAAAGGCAATTTTGGACCAGTTCAGTTCTAGTATAGTTGGCACTTAAAACCAAAGATGGAAAAAAAGAAAGTTTTTTTTCTCTCCATAACACACAAGACATGAACTTTAATTTTTGCTTTCCAGCAGCCATGAAATCCCTCCTTCAGAAGAGCCACAGATACAAAAGCATGGGTTACATTTTCTAATTCTCTATACCTGGAGTTTTCTACCAAATTTAGTGATCCTACAAAGCCACCTTCTTCCTTATATCTGTTTAAATATAATAAGCCACTAGATTAAAAGCCATTGCCAGACACACATTTCTAGCTGCCCTAGGGTCACTGACCTATGGACCGCATGCCAGATCTGGCTCACAGCAGCTTGGGAAACCAGAAACACTTCAGCCACAGCATAAAAGGAGGTGTGTACCCAGAGTCTTAGTCCTCCTGTTTCCCCACTACAGCTCCTGCTGATTGCTGGGAGAGTGGGGAGAAATGCAGCTCTCAGCAGGGGTTGCGTGGTAAACAGCCACCTACAGAGGTAGAAGGTTGCTACCCCTTCCCTATGCATCTTCTGGACATACAATAGTTTGTATATCTACTGCTTTGGCCAAAAATATTCCTTTATGACAAGGGATCCTGGTTTTCTCTGATAAAAAACAAAATCCCCAATTTTCAGGTTAAAAAAAGTAACCCAAAAATCA